GCAGGCTGCATCAGTGTGGACTATTTCAAACAATCCACCGCAGTGCGTCGTTCAGGCATGGCTCCCCTTTGCCCTGTGGCATCTTCCTTCACATTCTGATTTCCTCCACCATTCTTGGTATAAAATCTCAGTCTCATAAGGGAAACATCATTCTAACAACTTCTGCATCAAAAACAAAAACAAAAACAAACAAACTACAACAACAACAACAACAACAAAAAAACCCACACCCCAATGACATTTTCATATAATTTCGAAAGTTTCGAAAGTAATATTGAAGTATTCCAATAGTAATATTTCTTATTTCGTTTTTAATTAAGTATTTTATATTATCATTATTTAATAATATTCATACTCATTATTATTATTATTATTATTATTATTATTTTATAGTCATATTCATATATAATCACAAATTTTTGGCCAAATTGTTAAACCCTACAAGCATGGCAATCACATTTCAAATTGCAATCACAATTTTTATCAGAAAATAATAACAATTAGAGATTTTTACCCTCAAATCGTGCACCCCTAGTTGTAAGTCATAAAAATAGTTGATAAAAAAGTAAAAGTAAAAAACTAAACTAGCAGCAAACAAACAAACAAACAAAAACATTTATTTACTGGATTGTAATAAGCAATTTATTTGCATAAATGTTTGCATGAAAAAAGGGTGAAAGCCACAAGTCTATCTAAATGAATGACATTTTAAACTAAAAGCTCATTTCAAACACCAAATGAGTGTAGAAAGTTTTTTTCTTTTTGATTTTAGAATATTGTTTGAAGGTTTCTTTGTAAGGATAAATGCTACAACCGCTTTAGCAACTCACTTATAAATATATCATTTCTTAAAGGGGTCCTATTATGCTTTTTCACTTTTTACATTTTAGTCAGTGTGCTAGTGTGTATGTTTGGGCATAAAAAAGATCTACAAAGTTACAAATCTCAAAGTCCACTCCAAAGGGTGATATTTCTTTTTTTTTAAATCCCTTTTCAAGAACTACAACGAACGGCTCGCTTGGACTACAGCGTTGTTTGTGATGTCACAAAGCGGTCCATTAGAATATCATTAAAATAATTCCCGCCTACGGAAATTCGAATGGTTGGGGGGTGGGGAGGACGAGGTCGTGGTTAGAACGCTTGGGCTGCGTTTACACTAGCACAACAAATCCGATCTTTCGCTCACATCTGACACAGATCGGAATTTGTTGCACACGTGTAAACGCAAAAACCTGCACGAGATCCGCTTTTTTTGCATCCGATCTGAGCCACTCCAAATGTGGATTTTAATCGGATACACGTCTGATATCTGGACATCCGACCTACGTCTAAACACACATATCCGATTCTCCACAGAACTCCCAATGCGTTTTCTATGCACAATTTGATTTGACGAAAGTCACGATACCTATTACTCTCTATCCAATCACGTTGATGGATAAAAATAAAATTAAAATAAGCATGTAACGACCACAAACGGAGGAAAATAGCGGAGTAAAAGTACCGATACATCACTTAAAATGTACTCAAGTAAAAGTAAAAGTACACAAATTTTAAACTACTAAAAAAGGACAATTACTGATAAAAACGACTTAATTACTGTAACGTGAGTATTTGTAATTCGTTACTTCACACCCCTGGTAGGGAGGGATGCACGATTAATCAAAATAAAACCAAAATTGCGTGGTTCAGGGCGTTCTTACACATGAGCGGCTCATTATCCACTGGTATTTTCAGTACGGTTCAGTTCGCAGTAAATGCTGCTCCACACAAACCATCTCTGAATCTTTTCTGAGTTTAGGTCACTTTTATATGCATTTGAGAACACAAAATGTGCCAGCAATCTTTCCATACTTGTAACGAGAAGCTCCCTGCGGGTTACCATCAAAATAAAAGCTTAATGGTTTAATGTTTGAAAATGAGGAAATCAAGCACTGACGTCCAAAGTCATGGAAAAGTCATGGAACTTTATTGGTAAAAATGTGTACAAACCCTGGTAATTCTACTACTACTACTACTAATAAAAATATATATATATATTTATTTTTTTTTATAGCCATATGAATATATAATCTGTGGAAGATTTTTTTCTGCCACTGAATAAAAAAATATATTTGCAACTTCTTTTCTCACAATTCTGACTTTTTATTTCTTGCTGTTCTCAAAACTGCAAAAACTCGCAATTAACTTTCAGAATTGTGAGAAAAGTCGCAGTTACCTTTTATTTTTTATTCTGTCCCCAAAAAATTTTGAGATGTGAAATCACAATTACGAGTTACTTCTTTTGTTTTTTTTTGTTAAAGGGGTCATATGATGCTGCTAAAAATAACATTATTTTGTGGCACCAAGAGCTTGTAACACTCCAAAGAGAAAGGAAAAATTGAAATCGCATCATATGACCCCTTTAATCCCATGGTGGAAACAAGTTTCCATAATAATCACACAAATTTGGCTAAATTGTGCAGCCTTTCAAACAAGCACAGCAAATCTGGAGTTTTTTTTTTTTTTAAGACATCACAATTTTTACCAGAAAAATTTCAATTACATTTTTTCCCTCCAAATTGTGAAGCCCTAATTTTTAGGAGGCTTAACTTTTACCATTTACTGGCCATAAGTCATGAAAACTTTTCTTCCCTTTCTCAGGTTTGTGTATTAGATCTAAGGAAATGACGCTGCCGCTGGGAAGCCATGGACCGACTATGAATGTGTGCATAGCCAAATTTACCAACTGTCCCTGGCCCATCATCATCCACTGCTGTAGTCCACGCGTGAGGCGCCAGACCAGCGGTCCCTCAGCTCCATCACAACGCGGACCCGTGACGCTTACCACACACACAAAATCAGCGTGTCTGAGAACTGTTATATACAGACACGCTGGACACATGAGAAATACACACACCCACACACGCCTCATTAGTTCCTGTGTTCATCATTCAAAACCCAGAGGGCTGAGGTCCACGCCGCTGTCGTGAGCATATTGTACACGTCAGTGCTTCAGTGACCGTTTAGGTGTAACTGCATGAGCTAAAGAGCAGAGCTGTTGAATGTGGCCAACTCGTGGCCATACGATATCGACAATTCGGTGTATTAGCACTGTACATTTAGTGGCTCTGTGACTTTGGAACTGTTCTCCAAAAATGCTCAAGGATTTTTTTTTTTTAAATACAGAGTTATAAGAGTACAGAAAGCCTATTAAATTACTCAACTATATTTTCGAAAACGAATGCCCTGCGTTATTTTGTACAACCTATGCAACTTTGTGGTAAGACAAAACTGAACTTGCAGTGCATGAATGGGTGAAACTCATAGGTGAAGCCTGTACTTTTAAAATGTCTGATAAACCCACCCTAAAAACTCAACGGCACATTCACTGTCGCTGTTACAGAAAACATAGCTTTCAGGTTATTCATTCCTTTTTTTGGGGGGGGGGGTTCGTTGTCCTCCTACAATGGTATTTAACATGACACCTCACTTAAAAATGTTTATTACAAAGATTTATTCCTCTGATTAGATGTTCTTTCTTTAGTGTTGCGTAGTGCTGTCATTTCTTGCTTTTCTATAGAGGTTCGAGCTCTGAGTGATTCGGTCTGGTCATTACACTTTCAGTGCTGTAGTGAATTGGTATGTGTGTGACTGCAACAGCTGCAGTCTGTATGGCTTAATGTGAGTGACGGAATTATGGATCGGTGTGATTTTTTTTTTTTTTTTTTTTTCCTTTCCAGTCAGGGCAGCGGGTAGGTGGATGTGCTTTTTGATTCATCCAGTGCGATAGTTCAAAGTCAGGTTAAGGTGGTGCCCATTTTGCTCAGTATTTTTGTTTGTAAAATGACGTCATTGCGCAGTGATGGTATGGGTGTAAAACGGAAACTGACGTGGAAAACCGTAAATGTGACCACAGGGATTTTTCCTTTTAGATGCTACTGTTATAAAGGATGGATTTGAATGTAAACTCCATTGATGTTTGGAATTTTTCTCGCAGCCTGGTTTCTTCAGGGTGACGGCACATTGATTTAGAGTTCACTAGATGCTGTCAAGTGTCTTTATAAAATACCATTAGACAGTCATAGTCCAGAGAAGCAGCTTTTATCCAGCACACTCATGCTGCCTCTCAGCACTTTACACATACTCCCATGAAACCCAATGAGCACTTGAAACATTTTTTATCTTTTGGACTGAAATTACTTGAGTGACATTAAACATTTACTTGAATGAACCAGATCTTCTGATGATTATTAGAAGATGAGGCGGGTGGTTTAAACCTATGTAACAGTTTTTTTTATTATTATTATTAATTAAAATGTAATCCAAAATGCTAACAATTGTCTTTCTCTTCCCACGGATCAACTATAATCTGCATCCCCTCCTAAAAATATCAAAATGTCCTGATTGTTCTTTTTTCCATTTTTTTGTTTTTGTTTGTTTTTTTAAGATGAGTATTTTGAAGCTTTCTCTTAATATAATCAACAAGTAGATTGTATGAAAATACGATATTTATTATATTGTCTATGACAGTGGAATGGTATTTTATAATGTTTTAATTTTAAAGAGATATACTTTTTACAGTGTGCGTGCAAGCTTTTGCTTCTCTTGGTCCTCAAAGCCTAGCACTGCTTGCTGTGTCCACGGCTCTTTGAAATTTTGTACTTTAAAATCTTTTGTAATTCTATAATGTTGTTTTTAGCTCTAAGCAAAAGCATGTACATGGGCATATCAAAACATCTTGGACCATGTAAATACTTGTTCAGTGATTTTTGTCTCACTTTAGGTAATCTTTTAATCTAGTTTTTTCTCTTTTTTACTTCTTTTTCCTGTTTTTGCTTACTTTCTAGTAGAAATCACTCACTGCGATGTTGATTTGGCTGTTGTGATTTGAGTCAGATCAAATGAAAAGTCCAGAATAAAATATATTTTTATAGTGCAGAGCATTATTCTAAAATCTTTTAGAGCTGCTTGGATTCAACTCACTTTATTTTCCTCATTCGTTTGAAATAAACTTAAATATCATTTGTTTGTGATTTTTATTAGTCATGTAGGATAGACTGTAACTGATATCATGTGCGTTAGGCTACAAGCTTTGGATGCTGTTTGAGAAGAGACTAGTGTTTGGGTCATTCCAGCATTCGGTGCCATTTGAGTCCCCATGACATAATGCGGTATATTTTGTGTAAAGAAATGGGCAAATACTTGTTTCTAAATGCTCATCTTACAAAGTTACTGCCCCTCTACCATAGAACACAATAAATATGTACCAAAAATTAATTAATTAAAAATAATTACTCTTATTTTAGTGCAAGTAAAGCATTAAAAAAAAATACATGGTTAATTTCTCATGAGAGAACAGATTAGGCTATCTATCACTACGTTTTAGGGCTGGCAATTAAAAAAACAAAAAAACAAACAATTAGTCATATTCTCTGCGTTAAAATGAATTATCTTCATCCTGCTGTTTATAATAAATCTTTGAAAATCAAAATCTGGATTTGAATTTTTTATTTTATTATAACCTAAAAGATGCTATGTGAACGTTTGAAACAGAAAATAGTGGTTTTCATCTTGCCACATTCTTGGTAAAGAAAACACATTTTTACTCAAATTAATCAAAATGGATTAATAGCATTTTAGAACCAAACTCTTCAAATATAAGTAATAAAAATCAAACAAATTCCAAATGTTTCAATATTGTTGTATATTCTTATTTATGTTTCTCAACAATATATATATATATTTTTTGTTATTTATACATTTTTAATGCTTAAAGTCTTTAAAACATACCGTGTCCCTGAGTTGAATGTCCCCCGTTACTGATGGAAAGTCCCTCTGAACAAGCCCTTTGAATGTTTCTCTAATAACATGACTCTCAGGAAGTATACTACTTTTTGGTGGCAAACTATCTTCAAGAAGCAAAGTAAGTAACACTCCTTAATTTACCCTTTTTTCAGTGTTTTAGAATGATTCACTGATGTGGTAAGGCATAACATGTCCACTCTGTTATGCTTATTTATAGTGGAAACTGATCATTTTTTGTAATTTTGAAAATGTGGTTATTAAACAGGTTAAAAATCTTCCTCAGTGATCACTATGCACTAGCTTGTTGTTCATCACATGAGTAGCAATGGCTGACTTAAAATGTCCCTCATGTTACTGTCCACCCTGTTACTGTTTTGCACACACTCTAAAAAACACTGGGTTAAAAACAACCCAATTTGGGTCCAAAGTATTTATATTCTGTATCTTTATGAATAAAATCATTTATTTTATGCAAAGCATCAGGCTTTTCCATCACACGAAAAGACCGACGCCACGCTCATTTAGGTGACTCACACCGCGTGCCTGTATGATGCTTTGCATAAAATTGAATGATATACAGCACAGTAACGATTTTATAGATAAAATAAAATGTACACAAACCTGTATTTTACCGAAGGAATGCATCAATTCGATGGCGCTTAGAACTGCTCTCTCCTGAAGAAGACGCAAAATCCCTGCGATAAATAACTCAACTACTGGGTTACGTCTGACCCAGGATCTGAGTAACACAAAAACTACCCAAACATTGGGTTGTTACATTTGACCCAGGAGCTGGGTAACAATAAAACTACCCCTAAAATGACCCAAAAGGCTCAACCCAGGGTGGACTTATTGTAACAGTGGATGTAAAAATTTGATAAATAAGTTTACAGCATGTATTGGTACTTAATAATTAATTTGTTGAGATGAGATGAGAACGTCCTGTAACAGGGTGGACATTTGACCCTTGAATGTGTGAAGAATTTCGTGAAAAATTATTAAAGAATAATATCCTGAGCTGGACCAATATATTTTTCTTATAGTGTAACAAGCCCTTCTTCAGATAAAATGATTACATCATGGAAATGTAAACATTTTTTGATAGAACATTACCATGCTGAAATGGCACCGAATAGTAAGAATGGCCCGTTTATGTGTGTGTGAGTGTATGGTTTCCTACAAAGAAATATAGCCTAGAAAATACAAAAGATTAGCCTACACTGGTATAACATCACTGCATTACATTATACACATTTTACATATAAAATCACATTTCTTATCAATATACATTTAATGATTAACAATAAAGATGAAAAATAAGAACAAAGACGCACATTACAGAAGCGCGTCTATATAAACACAACATAATCCCCGCTTATAAACTAACAATCATGTAGACTACTTCAAGGATGCACAAATAAAGATATAGGTGCAAACAGAACAAGCCTACAGTGATGTCAACCTTGGTTTTAATAAGCAGTTAGTTTATCACACGGAACTGTAGTGAAACTGTGATGAGTCATGCATCTAGCAAGAACTTAAATATAACAGATACATTTTCAAGCAAAATAATCATATTGATTCAAGCATTTAACATTTATAAGTTAATTTAATGTCGTAACGAACAATATTGCACAAATTATAGCGATTACAAAGAAGGTCCTTACTCTGTCCCAAATGTGTAGCCTATAGTAAAGTGGATATAGGCCTACAGTATACAACACCCCATCAGTTACATTCAATTCTACTTCTATACTCTTAAAAAATATTTAAAGGCTGAAATGCAATGGGGAAAAAAAAATATTTTTTTTATTCTAAACTTTATTTGAACATGTAATGCATGTTAGTAGGCTACATAACATGTTATTTTGTTAGTCACCAAACCAATATTTTTTTGTTTGTTTAAAATTCGGCTGTCATTTTTAATGTTAGGTCATTTTTATGCTAATTGTTAATGTTCATGTTAATGTTAAAAAGTGCATATGGCTGCTAATTTTTGTTGTTTGTTGGTTTTCGACGTAAAAAAGTTTTTTAACATTTCCAGCACATTTTAACAATAGATAATACTGATAACCATTATTATTTAACCGTGATATGAAATTTTCATACCGTTTCATCTCTAATCTATACATTTATACATTATATGATAATAATTATAACAGTTTTGAGTGAGTGAGTGACTGATATCTTTGTTATGGAATACACGTGTTGGTTCGCAGTGAGTTCACAGTTTTAACGTACAAGTTTGCTTTAATTTATTTTCAAGATCTGAGGTAAAATATCTATTGTTGCTTTCACTATGGCTATAAAGATAACGCAAAATAATATTCAAACTCACATTAGACACTTTTAACATTGAATAAAGCACAATCCTGAGATTATCAATGTCATATTTTGTATGTTGTTCCTGCCACGACGTCGCAGAAAATAAAAACCGTTCCTAAAATAGAATCTCATGTCGCTTATTGTCACTTGTCGCTGTCGCGGGTAGTTAGGACAAAAACTATATGGAAAAGACACTTTTTATCGCGTCGTGTCTGGTTGGGACACACGGTGTTACAGTTTGATCCCCCCCAAAAAAAATCTAAGTATAAAAATAT